AAGAAACTGACAAACTGGCCTGTTTAAGAGTATATGAGTCAATGGTGTGGTGAGGAGGGGGCGAGGGAAATTTTGGCCTAATAAATTCCCTGAGAACTCAAGCAAAAAATGATGCAGTATTGGTTTAATTCAGTTTGAAATATAATGCTTTGCATTTGAATTCTTAGCTAATATTTTCCCCCTTTTTAACATTTACCATATGTAAAAAAGACAAAGTGCATTCTCAGCTAAGCAACACATTTCTCTTCTTTTTATTACTGTATGTCCTTTTATTAAGGTGAGTTACAGTCAGCATTAAAACAATAGGAGTTTTAGCCAGACTGTTCTGTTTACATTCTCCATTGTGAGTTCAGCCATGTGCTTAAAGATACCTAAACTTTTTGTTTCAGATGTCATTGTGCACTGACAGTGTTAAGCTATTTACCTACATTTTTATACATCATCTTGGTATCTGACCATCTGGAAAGATATAAGGAGTAAAACCCAAACAGGAAATATTGTATTCAAAATAACTGGAAAAGTAGGAATGGAAATAAAAAGGAACTTTTCTTTTACCTGGTTTCCAGTTCAGGTACAAAATAATGAGGAGTTAATATGCTGTGCTGGGCACTGTCTTATACAGGATGAGCTCCATTAATAAAAATCCATTAGACAAATGTACCTAATTATATTTACGTGTTATTTATAGATATAAAAGCTACCTGAGATTACTGAGAGATTTGTTGAAATTGTTCCATGTTTCCCTCTAAAAACCTAACTTTTCTCTTTTACAAAATGTCAGTAAAATTCTAGAAATCTCATTGATTTCAGCTATGAAACTTATGAGGCTGGGAAAAAACTGTAATTGTTTCTTGTGTCCCTTTTTAAATGTTCTTTCTCTCTTAATAGCCATGTCACAGCAGTAGAAAATCTGGTTTAAAATTTTACAGCTAAAAATTAAATAAACTTTACTAATGTTTCATAACTCTGATTATGCAAATCATTTTAGATACATTGGAAGAAATCTGCCCTTCAGCTAAACAGAAAAAGACCAGTTTCCCTCTTGAGCTCTGATGCTACTCCTTTATCTACATTTCTTCAGCACTACAACCTCCTACTATTTCCATGAATTGTATTTTAAAAAAAAATTCTCTATCCTCTTCCATTTTAAAAATGATTCTTTCATACCATGTTATCTTGCCAAGTGAGTGAAATATGCAGTATGAAGCCAAACTTCTTAAAAGAAAAATGTACAGCAAAGATTATTAATTAACCCCCCCAAAAGCAACAATCCTACCTTTTGCAGTCTCTCCTCGTTTCTGTTTAACTCTGATAGCTTTTGATACAAAAATCACTCAGAAACTACCTTTACCGATCGAATGCAACAGTTTCCACTTCTTCTTTGATATATAAAACAAAAGTGCAACTGCTGAGAGATTTTAGAGTATATTTGAGGTCAGAATGCCTGTAGTAGAGAGCTGTCACTGCTTCATAATAACATCCGAGAGCAACTTGCAGTCTGCACACTTTGTTTCCTTTTTCCAGTGGGCAGCACGGACGAATGATGAGAAGCTGCAGTTCAAAATGCATGCAATCTTTACACTCAAAAGAGGGAAGGAAAAGTGACCATTTCTATTTATAGGACATTGAATGTCTTCCAATCAGGTAGACAATAGTTCACAATCTGACCTAATTTTGTAGTAACAGAGAACATTTTTTTAAATGGGAATTCAAGGTATGTTGAACCTCACAGATGTGCAGATCCATATTATCTTTAATGGTTGCTGCTCCTTCTCACTCTCACAGTAAATCCCTCACATATACCTGCTGGTACAGTTTAATGGCTGTAAGCTAAAGGCTACACCAGAGTGACAGTTAGTTGAAACAGGTACTGGAGTTCAGGGACAAAACAATGTCCCTGCAAAATTCTCTCCCCACTCTCCTCTAGTCCCCTTTTCTGCCAAACAGGAAGAGTTAAAAGTATTGAAAACTATGAGATCTTTTCTTTCCCATTTTCCATTTCTCCATTTAGTTTATGCTTTGTCCTGTCTCCATAGAGTGGGATTTCTTTTTCTTCTTCATTTCATCTGAACCATTTAAATTTCTCTTCCATTGTACTGCTCCTCTTCTTTACTCCATGCCCGAGTTTAGAAGTGGGCAATAAGCAGCCTGTGGGACAGATGCAGTTCACCAGCAGGAACACCATTTCACATTTTCGTGGGGGTTGTGGTTTGTGCATGCCACGATGGGGGGATGGGGAAGACTGAGGCTATGTCTACACTGCAGAGCTTTTCTGGGATACCAGAGGTATCTTATAAAAGCTCTGCGGTGTCCAAGGAACGCGTCTGCTTTTCTGAATTTTTTTTGGAAAAGCAGATGTGGTATTTTGGCATCCCTATAAACCCCGTTTTACGAGGCACAAGGAATGTTCAGAAAGAGGGTTTTTTCCAACACTTGGTCCCATGTAGACAGACCAAATGTTGGAAAACCCTCTTTTGGAAGAAAAGTGGAAAAAGATAGGCAAATTGAGGTTAGCAATTTGCATATCTTTTTCCACCTTTTCTTTGTTTGTAGTATAGACATAGCTTGGGATATGCGGGGTAGACTGAGGAAAGCAGATTCAGCAATGTTACTGAGCATGCTCAGTACAAGCCAAGCAGCAAATTGGGAGGAGCTACTACTGGCGCTACAGCGCTACAATCTAGTTTTGGGGCAGATAACTTAGCAATTAGCTGACAGGAGCACTGTATCTAATCTCTATACAGAGGAAAGAAAATTAAATAAATATTAGACTCACTTAGCTCTGACACTAACATATTCTGACATCTTCTGGAAAGTCACATAAAGGAGACTGGTTAGATTTTAAATATTAATACATATTCTTACTTTGTTGCTAACTCTGAGAGGAAGAGGGGCCATGGTGCCACACTCTCTGGAGTGGGTTACAGCAGGGGGCAAATACATTTGGGCTATATATAACTATATCAGAATGGCCATGGTCTGCCTAGTCCAGTATCCTGTGTTCTTACAGTGGCCAATGCCAGTGCTTAGAAGGCATGAACAGAAAAGATAATAATCAAATGATCCATCCCCTATCACCCATTCCCAGCTTCTGGCAAAAAGAGGCAAGGGACACCATCCCTGCCCATCCAGGATAGTAGCCATATGCCAAGACTCAACCCTCCTGCCCTGGGCTGCGCCGCTGTCCCGGGAGGGGGGAGGAGCTCTCTCCACCGCATGCCCTGCTTGGTGTCCTGCCCTGGGCCCCACTCCAGCTTTTCCTGTGGGGGAAGGGGAGGACTAGCATGCATTTCCCCGCAAGCTGGATCTGTCATGGAGCCTTGGGGCTTCCCAGGCCAGCCTGAGCTGCCAGACTGTGGCCTTCAGTACAGGCACATATGCATACCTCCTTCTCCCCTCCCTCTGGTTGCGACTGGCTCCCATCCTGGGGCTGTGACGGAGCCAGGAACATGCTGTGAAATCACTGACCCAGGTGGAAAAAGGGACAGGGCCAAATTGCTGCGAGGGGTGGCTGAGCTGATATACATCATTTCCGCTTCCGCAAGCGGAGACGATGCACACATAATGCTGTGTTACACACCCTGCAGCGGCAGTGGCATGCGAACATGCCTAGACTCTTCCCCCAAACTCGAGCTCCATCTCACGTCAGCGGGGCACGTGTGATGAACGGGCTCCCCCTTGCTCTCCTCCCCCCGCAGGAAGCTGGCTCTGGCTCCAATCTTGCGGGGGGCGCGATGCTGGATCGCCAGCATGGACTTTCCATTGCAGGTGAGGGGGAGTGAGGGAGAGCCAGTTCATTGTGCGTGCCACTGAAAATCATTTGCATGGCACTTATGGCACATGTGCCGGACCTTGCCGACCTCTGAACTAGGGCATGTGCTTTAAGCAGACCTCAAGTATGAAATTCAGGGGTTCAATCTTCAAGAGAGACTACAGGCCCTCCCCCAACCTCCCATAAATGACACCCTTGTTAACCAGGGTTAGTCCCTGGTGTGCTGCTGGATGCTTTATTTGCCTGCATATCTGCAGCTATGGCTGCTCACAGTTACTGTTGGCCACGATTTGCCATTCCTAGCCAATGGGAATTGTGGGATATGACGTCCCGGTCTGCACCACTTCCTGTACTTCCCATTGGCCGGGAACAATAAACCATGGTTAACAGGAGCTGCAAGTGGATGTTCCTGCACATGCACAGGTAAATAAAGCATCTGGGGGCCCCTCATGGACTAGCCCTAGTTAACCGTATCCAGCCTGCAGGCCACTTATTGCCCACCCGTGCCCTTGTCCATCATCTTTCTTTCCCACCATCATCTTTCATTCCTCCCTTTCTCATGCCCGATGTTACTGACTTCTTTTCCCCTTTTCTTCCCTCTCTGAATTAGCTTACACATCCCTTCCCCAGTCCCTCCATCCCTCCATTTCCCAGACCCCAACTCCTCATTTCCTCTGTTCTCTCCTTTCCCCTTTTATTTCTCCTTCTCAATTGCATCTGTGATGTCTAGCCAGTGCTGGGTGTGTCCATGACCCCAGCCTCCTTAGCGGTGGCTTGTGGTGGGAAGGTGTCCTACCACAGAGTCAGAAGTAAGGCAGGCCTTTCCAGAAACCCTAATGAACCTCTATTTGCAATAGATATAACACTAAAAGGAAAGCTCTTACTACAAAAGCACCAAAAGGTGACCTAGAGTGGATTATAGAAATCATTTTCAGATGAGTTTACTTTCTCACTTCCACCGTGCAAACTCTTAACAGTAGATGGTTGGGAATTGATCCATCAGAATGATTTTCTGGTGGAAAATTTAGCTTTTGCTAAATTTTAATTTTCCAAAACAACATTTTTGCCCCAAAATCTTGATCTTTTTCCATCAGGAAAATGAAAATTAAAAGGTTTTGTTTTGTTGAAATGACCCATGATGTTGTATTTCTAATTAGGTCAGTAAAATATGAAGCAGCATTTTCCCTTGAAGTACTTTGCCTTCTATAGTGGAAGCTCCCATTCTCTCCTGTGGGTTGAACTCCCTGGAGGACAGCATCTCCCACAATGCAATGTAGATTTCCCTCTGACCAAGTGCTATGTAGTTCTACATGGGAATCACATGGTTGGAGTGTAATAGGAAATCAGCCCTGACAAGGAGACTGGCCCATAGACAAGAATGGGGTCCCAAATTATAATGCACTAATAGGGAAATACAGGCTAATTTTGTATTGAACTGATAGGAAACAAAACGTCAGGTTCTCAAACCACAGCTCCCATTAGGCAACGCAGTGCAATGGGAAAATGTAGTTTAACATTGAACTGATGCTACAATGACAGCTCATCTCGAGAGGTATGCTGTCTGCCAGGGGCCCGTATCCGAGATGTTACGGAGGCATTGTCGAGGATTATCCGGCCCTCTGACTACTACCCCATGCTACTCATCCACGTGGGCACAAATGATACTGCCAGGTGTGACACTGAGCGGATCAAGTGTGACTAAAGGGCTTTGGGAGTACTGGTGAAGGAGTTTGGAGCGCAGGTGGTATTCTCTTCTATCCTTCCTGTCAAAGGTAGGGGCCCGGGCAGAGAGAGGTGCATCCTGGAGGTGAATGCCTGGCTGCGACGATGGTGTCGCCAGGAGGGATTCGGCTTCCTTGATCACGGGGTGCTCTTCCAGGAAGGACTGCTTGGCGGAGATGGAGTTCACCTTTCCAGGAGCGGGAAGGCCTTGTTTGGACACAGACTGGCTAACCTTGTGAGGAGGGCTTTAAACTAGGTTTGTCGGGGGCAGGTGAGCAAAGCCCACAGGTAAGTGCTGAATGTGCGGGACTGGGAGATGGGTTGGAAATGGGGGGGACTACGGCCTATAATGGCAAGGAGAAAGGAGGGTCAGGGCACAACAGGGAGGCAAGATCAAATCAGTATCTTAGATGCCTATATACAAATGCGAGAAGTATGGGTAATAAGCAGGAAGAACTGGAATTGCTAACCAATAAATACAACTATGATATCATTGGTATTACAGAAACCTGGTGGGATGGGACACATGATTGGAATGTTGGTATGGAAGGGTACGGCTTGCTCAGGAAGGACAGACAAGGAAAAAAGGGAGGAGGGGTTGCCTTGTATATTAAAAATGTACACACTTGGACTGAAGTGGAGATGAACGTAGGAGATAGCTGTGTAGAGAGTCTCTGGGTTAAGCTAAAAGGGGTAAAAAACGAGGGTGATATCATGCTAGGAGTCTACTACAGGCCACCTAGCCAGGTGGAAGAGGTGGATGAGGCCTTTTTTAAACAATTAACAAAACTATCCAAAGCCCAAGATTTGGTGGTGATGGGGGACTTCAACTATCCAGACATATGTTGGGAAACTAACACAGCGAGGCACAGGCTATCCAATAAGTTTCTGGACTGCATTGGAGACAACTTTCTGTTTCAGAAGGTTGAAAAAGCT